GCGATGTAGTCCAGGCTGGCCCTGAACTCACTATGTGCCCTGGGTTGGTCTCTAACTCTCAATAATCCTGAGTACTAGAATTCCAGCCATGTACCACCATGCCCAGCTTACAAGCATTTTCAGGTATGACATTTTCAATTTATAATAGATATATCTTGATGTTGCCCCCTCGTAGGTCGAAGTGTATATAAGCTATATCTAGCAGGCTGGTCATTGTGGAAAAAGGTCTTTTTTCAGGGTCCCTTAGTAATTCAAGCCTCTTATGAAAACTCTTTCACTGCAGCTGTCTGAATTCAAGTTGGCTTTGCCCCTGAAGTAACACCAGTGGCTCTCAATTCCAGCTGTATACAACACATCAGCTGTGTTTTTTTTTTTAATACACCAGTTTTTAAGGCATACCAACAGCAACTGGACTCTATGCCAGACCAATGAACTCAGAATCTCTAGTAGGATAATAGCTTAAAAGCTCCCCAGGCAATTCTAAATTCTAAATTCTCCCAGGCACCATTGGAAACTGTTCCCATTGAGAAACACTGGACTTCAAACATAAAACTCCCTAATGAGCTTCTCCTTTATTCAAAGCACCACTCACATTTTCTTGTAGATATTCTGGCTCGTTCTTTTTTGTGTGTTTGTGCAAACTACTTCTACTGTGAGAAACACAGAGTTTGTTCAGTCTGGGTAAATGATTCTGTTTTAGTCAATTTGCAAATGTAGTTTGTAAAAAATTTGTTTCCATATAACTTCCGTGGTTTCAAAGAGAAATTTTTAATTCACAAAGACTTCCTAAAATGAAGTCATGTCGTCTAGTGTACATCAATTATTATTTGATTTTCGTTTGCTTCTGTTTTTAGCATTAGGTTAAAAATCACTTCTAGTACAAAACATCTTACTTTAGAATTCTAGACGTTCTATTAAAATTTTTAAATTAATGACTACGTTGGTAAAATCAAGAATTTTTCAAAATAGAATGCCGAATAAATATAAGAAGAATAAGTGAAAAACTGGAAGTATAAATTTCCATGGGGATATCTGCTGATCCTTGGTGGTCTACGTGTGGATTTTAGTGGGTTGGATTTGTGGTGATCCTCCTGTCTCAACCTCCTGAGTGCTGGGCTTACAGGTATATGTCACCACACCTGCCTGTCATCTGTCTTATTTGTATCTGAGCTCATGCTCCTTGGAATTTTATCTATGATAATTCTTTGAGGTCTGAGTTAAAATTTCTCCAAGGAATGTTTATACAGTTACTTAAAAGATTTATCAGGTCTGGGCCACTGAAACTTAATATAACACTTGGCATTTTTTTTTTAAATAGGAGGTATTGAAACAACATTAGACACCAGAACTAGGTTTGGACAGGAGTGAATCCTCACTATTTCAATCGGCAGCACAAATATTTCTCTGCTTTATATACCGAGGGTGCTGTCCTTGGGTTTGGCTTATGCAAGGGGTTTAATCTTACCACTCAGCCTGCTAGGAATCCAGTCTCGCTCAATTCCCCACCTGGATTCGAATTTGGAATCCTCATCTCAGCCTTACAGAGTGCTGGGATTACAGGCGTGGGCTACCACATCCAGTTTAGTTTGTTTTTTCTTTTTTTGACTGCAGACCCTTTTGATTTATTTAACTATACTCCAGCTGCTTCAGGGCAGCCTCCTGTTACTAGGTTTGCTTGGTGGAATGAACTGTGCAACTGGGTCACAGGCACCCATGTTATGTCCAGAACTCATTGCCTCTACCTTGTCAAAAGGTAGATACAGACCCGTGAATAAGCTCTTGGCTCAGAATGAGCCCCCACAACCCCTTTCCTTTTTCTTTTTTTTTTTTGAGACAGGGTCTCACCATGTAGTTGAGACTGACCTGGAACTCACTATGTAGCCCAGGCTGGTCTTGAACTCACAGCAATCATCCTGCCTCAGCCTCCCAAGTGCTGGGATTACAGGCGTGTGCCACCACTCCCGGCTAAACCTCCTTTCTTGCAGCGTGACTTTCTAAGGCCTATGTCCAATGCGCCTATCCCCTATTCCTCGTGTATGGTGGCTAAAACGGAAATCGTGCACAGAAATAGTCCCTGCCTTACCATCATACACTTAAAAAGAAAGGCAATTTATGCTGTTAGAAATCTAAATTTTCTTATTTTGGGGGTACAGAGGATCAAACTCCCGACCTTGCGCTTGCAAGGCAGGCAGCGGAACCACTGAGCTAAATCCCTAACCCATAGGTTTTCTTCTATACTGTTTTACACACATACAATCTGGAATAATTTTTTTTAAAACCTAACAGATTAAAAATTACATTTAAAAAGAAAAAAAGAACTAGCTGATCTATCTACCTCTTACGGGCAGCTCATTCAGCAGAAATAGACAAAAAGAGAAGACACGTTTTTAGGCCGGTACGCTTATGTTTTTCTCCCTTAACCTACTACGTCCCATCTCAACCTCCTACCGGCCAGCGCCCAAGCTGGAGACCGGAAGTCTGATACTTACACGAGCCGCTCTTTCTCCCTCCCCACTCTATGGTTTTTTATTCGGGTTATTCTTGCCATAGAGAACTCTATGGTTCCGGGGCGAGCTGGGAGGCCTGAATTTGAAGCCCGGCGGGAAGCTGGTGGTGACATCTGTCACTAGGCCGGGATTCTCCCGAGTAGGAGGGCTCCGGGACTATGCTTTGCCCTGAACAGCGGACAAGGGTTTATAATGAATCTTCCGCGCCGGAGTGGGAAACGGCGGCGTTCAGCATCGGACTCAGACCCGTCCCCGGGAAGCGGCGGTGCCAGCGGCGTCAGCGCCCAGCTCCCCATCGGGCCAGTGCTGAGCCCCCCTCCGGGCCTAGGACGCAGCCTGAAGGCCGCAGGTGCGGCTACTCCCGGGGTGGCCGCGCTCGCCTGTGTGTCGGCCCCCGCCTTCGGCTCTCTCTCCCTCTCCCTCTCTGTGACCCGAGGCTGGCGCCACAGCCCAGACTTCGGCGCGTTTTCGGTGACCACGCGTGGTGTAGCGTTCAGCTGGCTTCTGGGTCTTTCGGTCTCTTTTGTTTTTGTTCTTTTTGAGGCAGGGTCTCTCCTGTGTTTCAGGCTCGCCTCGAGCTCGTTAAGTAGCTCAGGCTGGTCCGAAACTCGGGCCGTAGCCTCTCGCTTGCCGGATCACAGGTGTGCACACGGCGTGGGTCCTTCAATCTTCGCAGAAACAAGTTCCAGATTGACCACTCCCTGTTACCCGAGGCGGGTTTGCTCCTAAATAGTGCCGAGGCACAGGCTGTTGACAGTCCAGAGGAAGGCGGGACGGGATTGCAATGTTTTCTCAGATTGGTCGTAAGGTTAAATTTCGTGACAAGCGTAAATTTCGACCTGGGTGTATTTCACCCTACCTTATTCGCGCCAGGGCCAACTCTAGGGCGGTCTTCGTAGCAGTAAGATAGAAACCTCCCTAAATTAGCTTTCTAGTGCTTGCATATCTCCCGCAGAGCCTCCATCCCTAATCTCCCCACCCTCGGAATTCCGACACAATTTACATTGTGTATTAGCGTATTTGCGGAAGGAGGGGATTGTTTGGGCTTTTAAGAAGTTTTAAAAATTCTATCCAGGCCGGGCAGGCGTGGTTGTGCACACCCCTAACCTCAACACTCTGAGGCAGGAGGATTGCCCCAGAGTCCCAGGCCAGTCTGGGATTCGGAGTGAGCTGAAGGCCAACTTGAATTACAGAGCAAGAGCCTGTTTCAAGAAAAAAGATTCTCTTCACCTGGCAACATTTTATTATTACCTTTCTATACCTGGCCGGTTTGCCATGAGCCTTATGAACTCGGTATCTGCTTTAAATAGCTTCATTCTAACATACAAGAAGTCCACTACACAGTGAAAGGCTAACTACCAAAGTTGTGTATGTCTGAACTAAATCTGTTGCTTTTTTTTTTTTTTTTTTCCTGAAAGGAGTATGCCAGCAACCAGTTCCCGATGACCAAGCAGACAAGCTGTTATTGGCAAACTGGGGACTTCCTAAAGCAGTTCTACAGAAATATCACAGTTTTGGTGTAAAACAGATGTTTGAATGGCAGGCAGAATGCCTTTTGCTTGGACAAGTCTTAGAAGGAAAGAATTTAGTTTATTCAGGTACTCAATTTATGCAAACACATTTCTATACTATTTTTAAGATGTTACCTGTGTAAAAGATACTACGTTGAGTTAGTTTAGATTTTTTAAAAAATTAAAAATGTATTTATTTAGTTTTTGGAAACAGGGTCTTGTTATATAGCTCACCCAGGCTGGCTTTGGACTCATGGCAATCATTCTGCCTCAGCCTTCTGAGTGCTGGGATTACCTGGGTAGATTTTTGTTTTTGTTGCAGTTTTTTTTTTTTTTTTTTTTTTTTTTTTTTTTTTTTTTTTTTTTTTTTGTACCAGGGATCACACTTGGGACCTTGTACTTGCGAGACAGGTGGCAGAACCACTGAGCTAAATCCCCAGCCTTACATTTTTTTTTTTTTTGAAAGGATGGATGAGACAAGGCTTTATAAATAGAGAGTCTTAAAATATTCATTACAAATGTAGAGTTATCATATGTATATTTAAATTGTGAAAGTTCCATTATAAGACTGAGGTGAGAGGTAAAGCAAGGAATATTATTTATTTTTATTTATTTATGTATTTTTTGAGACAGGGTCTCACTTTGCAGTTCAGGCAGACTTTGAACTCACTATGTAGCTAAGGCTGGCCTTAAACTTGTGGCAGTTCTCCTCTCTCAGCATCCTGAGTGCTCGGATTATAGATGTAAGCCACCATAGATATTATAATTTATAAATAAGCAGGTCTGCTCTACAAGCTTGTGTCCCATAGTGTGTGTGATGGGAGATGTAAATTTATTTCCGCATTTCATCTCAGTTGCTTTCAGGGTGTGAATATTATACATTATATGCTTACAAATTGATCTGTTTTTACAGGGTTCTATGTACAGAACTAAAATATGTTTTGTAGATTTATGTGGGCTGTCTAGGGCAACTTTGATATACATATTTTTGATCTGTGTTTGCTACATTGACTTTGAAATCTGGTCAATTCCTTTGTGTTAGTATTTTCTGAAATTGTTAGTCACCCAGATTTTTCATTGTGGCTGCAAAAAAGAATTAGAGAATTAACTTAACAGCAGACATATGTTTAGCCTGTGGCGTTAGACTGAGTTTGAAAGTAGTATCACTTACTGGTTGTGTAACCTTGCAAATTATGGGGTATGGGATATGGGTTGGGGTGGGAAGAGACAAACTCTTGGTAGTATTCAGGATCAAATTATTATTATTATTATTAATTAATTTATTTATTTTTGAGACAGGGTCTCACTATGTAGTTGAGACTGATCTGGAATTCACTATGTAGCCCAGGCTGGTCTCGAATTCACATTGATCCTCCTGCCTCAGCCTCCAGAGTGCTGGGATTATAGGCATGTGCCACCATGCCCAGGCAGTGTATAAGAGTTTAGAACATTTTTTGTCTCTAGAAAGCACTACTCCTGAATGTTGACATTAGTGGCCATGGTAGAATAGTGTGTACTTCAGTTGCAAACTGGACCTTGGATATCACTCATATCACTGGTCATCAGTTCACACAATTACCCACATATCTCTTGATTCTGACTGCTTCTGACTACTTGTTGCTTTTAAACTCATTGCAGAATGCAGCACTTCATAATTTTTCTTACAGTTTAGGCAGCTGTCTTTTAAACTAGTTTTTCCCCTCTGTTTTGCCTTGCTCCTTCAGTCAAAAGTGCCCTTTCAAGGCACAAATATGATCTTGTCACTACTTTTCAAAGAATTCATCAATCATTCTGCATTGCTTTTAGGATAGTCCAGTAAGCCGCTTTCCTAGTAGGGTTCTAAAACTCTTCCTCGAGTACCACTTTCATATCTTCTTCCATTCCCGGAGTACTTAGTAAATTCCTTACTGTCATCCAAGTAGGCCAGGATCTCATTTAGACCTTTGTGTATGCCATTTCTTAAGCTTGATATTCCTTTCCCCTTTCATTTCATCTTCCCTCTCATAAATTCTAGTTCTTTTCTACAAGCTTCCTTCCAGCTGCCCTCTCCCAGTTCCTATCACAGCTCCTATCACATTATGTTGAAGTTGTTCATCCTCTTCAAAGCAGGGCTTTTAATCATTCAGTAAATGAAAGAGTATTTTTTGCGGGGAGGAATCTTTAGGTATGTGCTAGGCACTCAATACTATTGGTCATTTATTGCTGATAATAAAGATAATTTTACTCTCAAAAAGATTTTTTTAAACTTTTCAATGAGAATGTATTTAGAAAGCTGGTTTAAAGTTGGGCTTTTCAGGATATAAAGGTTTTAAATGTTAGTTGGGATCTTAGTGATAGGCTAGCCTTAGGCTCTATAATACTGAATATGGCTTAAAACGTTAATGCATTGTACCAAATATTACTTGTTTTTAATTTGAACTGTGTTGAATAATCATATTTTAGCTCCTACAAGTGCTGGGAAGACCCTTGTTGCAGAATTACTTATTTTGAAGTGTGTTTTGGAAATGAGGAAGAAAGCTTTGTTTATTCTTCCCTTTGTTTCTGTGGCTAAAGAGAAGAAATATTACCTCCAGGTAATGTTCAGATAATAAGTTTGAAATAGTAAAAGGCCTGTTATTGGCATTCTTAGCTTTATTCATATGAAAAAGTTTATAAAAGCAAGTGAAAAACACAATTTCTTTACTGTATCCCATTTACCTTTAAAAGCTATTGCAAGTGTTAAAAGTTTACAAAGGAAAACTTTAAAAAATTATTGTTGCATAAAAGAGAAAGGGCCATAAAGTCACATACGTGATTATTGACTATTGTGTAAAAATTTATAAATGTTTTCTTAGGAAGCAAACAGTTAATTAGCATATAACCCTGAAAATTAAGAATCAGCACCTTAACTGAATTGTGGTCGAGTAAGATGAGCAGCCAGTGTCTGAGGAAGCGTTTCCCATTTTGTTTGAGGACTATGTTCCTTCCTTCTTTTGCAAAAAGAAATAGTCAAGTTTGCATTAATATGATACTAGCTAGTTTTTTTGTTTGTTTGGTTGGTTTGGTTTGGTTTTTTTTGCAGTATCGGGGATCAAACTCAGGACTTTGTGCTTGCGAGGCAGGTGGCAACACCACTGAGCTATATCCCTGGCCCTATACTAGCTAATTTTTAAGGTATTTTCCCAAATAGTGTTTCACCAAATGCAATAACTTTACTATTGTGATTTCTTCAGTGAAAAAAATGTGTTGTTAGAACAGAAAGAGTATTGTACTAATAGGCCAAAAAGTCTGGATTCTAGTCCCTTTTGCCACTGGATTCACTCATGCTTTGAAGAAATTTATTGAATGAACAGGTCTAAAGTTCTGTGGGTCTGTCAATCTTTTTAACAGTTATTTCAAAAGCCAAATAACCAACAAAGCTGGTGCTTCATGGAATCATTCTCTAATTTAGACCCAAAATAACAAAATGATGAAAGGATCCTTTTTACTGAGAAGGTATATTAGCCAAAAATTAAACTAGAAAAAGAAAAAAGTTGGGCTGGGGATTTAGCTCAGTGATTCCACCATCTGTTCTTACAAGCATGAGGTCCTAAGTTTGATCCCCAGTAAAAAATAAAAATAAATAAATAAGAAAAAAGTTAATACTGCACTTCCACTGATTTTGACTTCTAAAAACTTTTCTTCCATTACATAAAGTGGTCTTTAGTAGGATAATACTGTTTTATGTATGAAGTATACATTGTTCCTTAAAATGTTAAATTAGCCTTCATTAAAATGCCCTCATTTCTTGCTGTTTATTAGATTAAAAATGTTAGTGCTTAAGGTAATTTCCTTTGATTTTAATTACTATAAACACTTCTTAGATCTTAGATTACTAAATGCTGCCATAAAATGAATTAATTTTATTTGATTTTTTAAAAACGGTTTTATTTTTGAATTTTATTGGAACGTTTCAAATATACATAATGCTAACTTCATCAGGGAATTTGTACTTGTACATGATGTATCTTAATTTTGACTGTCTTAACAGAAATCTCTCTATTGAGCTTTGTCAATTTCAAACTTCATATTTTTTAGTATGTGTTTCTAAAAAGGACGTGAGCCTTGGCCAGGAGTAACTGACAGTAATCCCATAAATGTCTTTAGATAGTTATGTCCATTTGTTTGTATCAAACCCATCCATAATTTGTGAATTGCAATTTTTTTCACCTGTGTTGTTCTCAATTCAGAGTCTGTTTCAGGAAGTAGGGATAAAAGTGGATGGTTATATGGGCAGTGCCTCTCCAACAGGGCATTTCTCTTCCTTGGATATTGCTGTCTGCACAATTGAGAGAGCCAATGGTCTGATCAATCGCCTCATAGAGGAAAATAAGATGGATCTGTTGGGTAAGAAAATTTAAGCAAATACTTCTTATTGCTATATTTGATGGAACAGAATGAAACTATTATGATTTCTGTACATAACTGAGTGCAAAGGCTTAGGGTACAAACCCCATTACTACAAAAGAATCAATTTACTTAACTGATGTAGATGTCTTTCTATATAGGTTCCAATTTAGAAGTGTCTGAGTCATGGTAAGCAGTGTTCCCTAGTCCCATGTTTATTATGATCTGTCATCTATTTCTGGAGGCAAGAATTGGTATCTGTAATGTTAGCAACTCTGTAAAAAAGTATGTTTTGTGTTCTGCTGCGGTTATTGGCTTTACTACCTTGCATTTTTGTACTTTATAAAACAGAGGATATTCTTGAGTCTGTCAGTTTTCATTTTCCTTCTAAACTTTACCAGCGATAGAAGCCTTTATGGGCCAGATTTGCCACCTCCACAGTTAATATATCTGTGTATCATCATACTCTAGTGCTCTGATATCTAGATTAGGCCTGGACCTGAAAGTGCCCATTTGATGTAAATGATAGGGAACCATGAAAACATAGAAATGTCAGTGAAGCCTGGCATGGTGGTGCATATCTGTGATCCCAGCAGCAAATATAAGAATATCAGCCACTCATTAAGAACCTGGCAAACTTAAAAATGACATGGTCAAGTTGTGGTAGAGTAGGTATGAGGGGTGAGAATCAAAGCTTAGTAAGACATGGACTCTGCTGTACCGAGCTTGGAGAGAGAAATCAAAGTCAATTTGTGTTAGAATTGACTTAGTAGTTCTGACTCCATTGGGCTTTAAATATCCTGAGGATTGTTATAGAATCTTATTGTTACATTCAATGTACCTAGTGCAAGGATTGATAGAATATTTTTGGATGCATGAATAAATGCTGAAGTAATCCTCATATAATATGATTTGGAGATAGCTTACTGATAAGGTAAAAGAGCATCATGTATCCTTTGGAAATTGTCTGAAAAGACTTGGGTTTGGTGAGAATTCGGTAGGGGGATACCAGTACATATGGAAAAAAACTGATGCTATAAAACATTATCCAAAGAAGACATTGGTTGATACTAAATTTTCTGTAATTCTTGGGCATCATTCCAAGTGCATAATTGGTTCATTTATTCAAGTTGTAGAGAAGTATTTATGTTTTGCAGCAGGATGACATTAGCCTATCACATTAAGAGAAATCTCTTAAAATAATTTCTTCTTGATCTAGTTCCATTTTTTACTAGGCAACATTTTTTACATGAGGATAGTTGTTTCCTTATAAAGGTAATACAAGCCAGATATGGTGGCTCATACCTATAATCAAGCACTCTGGGAGGCTGACGCAGGAGTCAGTTTGAGTCCAGCCTGGGAAATTTTGCAACTGAGAAAGATGTTGTCTCAAAAACAGGGGAGGGCCTGGGCATGTAACTCAGTGCAAAGGCCCAGCGTACAAACCCCATTACTTAAAAAAAAAAATTAAACACTGAATAACTAACATAGATGTCTTTGGTATATCAGCATGTTTATTTCTATAAAGTTACCAATTTATTTATTTATTTATTTATTTATTTATTTATTTATTTATTTATTTATTATTTTTTTGCTTTTTTGAGACAAGGTCTTGCTCTGTCGTTCAGACTGACTTGAACTCACTATGTAGCCCAGGCTGGCCTTGAACTCACAGTGATCCTCCTCCAGCCTCTTGAGTATGGGATTTACAGGTGCACAAACCATGCCTGGCCAAAGTTGCTGATTTAGAAGTGTCTAAGTAATGATAGGCCATGTTACCTGGGTTTGGTTAGTTCTGAGATAGCTAATCATTGGTTTTTTAGATCCAGAGTACATTGTAGTAGGACTACTTATTATAACTGAATCATCTTGGAAAATAATTACCTATTATGCAGAATCTGTTTTTTCTTTTATAGCTTGAAATTTCATCACACAATATATTATAGTCATAGTTATTAACTGTATAGATATGCTACTGCGTCTTTTAAAATTCTTAGGATTGTGAAGTTCTGTAAAACTCAGCATCTGGAAACTTTTTAGGAATCGTGGTTGTGGATGAGCTGCACATGCTGGGAGACTCTCACCGAGGGTATCTGCTGGAACTTTTGCTCACTAAGATTTGTTTTCTCACTCAGAAATCAGCATCTTGGTGAGTACTGGAAATTACTGCATTCCTGCTATCCAGTGTTGAGAAACTGTCTTCAAAGTGCAAAAGTACAAGTTAAAGGGAGATAGTACTTTCTTTACAGCAAATGTGTGTGCAGTAGTCTGTTCTTATTCTAAAAGAAACATTTCAGGCTAAAATTGATTTTAGATTACTTTGTAAATATTGTTAAATTTCCAACCACTCAGTATTTCAGGGTAGATTTTTCAAAAAAAATCTCGATTTTGTGTTTGTCAATTATACATACACACATATAATTTGAATTGTCAGGACTAATTTTACAAAATAACATTTCTTCAGCCCCCACTTCTCAGAGACAAGAACTTTCAAGTCTTTTTTTTTCTCTCTCATTGAGTTTATTGGTACATTTTAGGTATTAAGTACAGTTACATTCATCCTTGGGAACTTGTACCTTTCCATGATATGTCTTGGTTCTTATATTTTCCCCATACCCATGCTCTCCCTTCCCTATTTACAGAGACTTTGTTTCCATTTTTTTCCTTTCCTCATATTTTTTCTTTTCCCTTCTTTCCTTTCCCCTACCCTTCACATTTCCCCGACTCCTTCTGCCCTTAACTTTCAAGTCTTCCAGCTTTTTAAAAGTTGTATTTATATTTACAGCAGTGTCTCTAAATGCACCTACTTCAGTTTTAGTTTTAGACATCATCTATCAACTTTTGACTTTGGAAAATCTCTCCTCACTGACACTGAATCTCTTCTCAGCCTCTCCTTATCCTCTCATCCTCTTCCTATTCTCCAAATGTAATATGATTTTGCTTAATATTTTTCAGTGTTATGAGTACTGTTGTGAACTGAGCTAGATTATATTGTGATAACTTTTACCTTTCTAAAAAATGTTTTATCTGAAATTAACAGATGTCTTTCTTGTTTGGTGGCTTGGTTTCATAGGGGCTTGTTATTAATTTACCCCTGGCCTCTTCTTCAGGTGTGTAAGTCCACAACTATTATATTCCAGTAGATTTGCTCTCCTACCAAAGTCACCACCTAGTTTTTTGTCCAAAGGTCTTCCAAAGTGCTGCAGCCTAGGAGAGGTTTAGTTTGTGTATGTGCCACATAGTACTTGCCTAGGGATCTCTCTTCATCATTGTCATCATTTCTCTTACCTTCGGTTTGAGACAGGGCCCCTTTTTGGCATTCAGGCCTTTCTCTTGGTTTATTTCCTCATTTTTGTGGAGCTGTCATCCAGAAAAGTCCCCTTATTTCAGTGAAGACAATAGGGTAAAGTTCTTAAGGGTTGTTATTTTTTATTTTTTACCACACTAGGGATTGAGCCCAGGGCCTTGGCATTGCACTACATTGCCAGCCTTTATTTTATTTTGGTTTTTTAAGATCTCACTAAGTTGCAAAATTTCCCAGGCTGGCTTCAAACCATATTTGAGAATTCCTTTTAATTTATATTAAATAAGTTGCCTAGGTATAAAAGTCAAGATTAGAAGTATTTTTAATTAATTTTATTGGTACATTTAATGTACCAATAAATTTAATATGACATTCATTCTTGGAAATTTGTACCCATAATCAATCTTGGTTCTTATTTTTTCCCTATTCCCCTGCCCTTACTTTAACCCCTCCCTCCCTCACAATCTACAAAGATTTTGTTTCCATTATTTTTCATTTTCTTATATTAATTCCATTCCCTTCTTTCCTTTCCCCTACTCCTCCTGTTTCACCTACCCCTCCTGTGTCCCCTTCCTCTTTTTTCCTTTTCTTCCTGTTTCACATTATCTGTTATACCTTTTGGTGCTTATTTACACCTTCAGTTTTTCACAATAGAGAAACTATTTGATATTTACACTTATGTGTCCTAATTATATCACATAAGACTATTGCCTCAATGTGCATCCATTTAGCTATAAATGTCTCTAATTTCTCCTTTTTTATGGCTGAGTAGTAGTCCATTTTATTTTAAAAAACACATTTTCTTTATCCATTCTCCCCATTGATGGGCAATTGGGCTGCTACAAGTTTTAGCTATTATAAATTTTGCTGCTATGAAAATGGGTGCACATATATCACTATGGTATGATACTTTTAATTCTTTAGGAAAGATACCCAGCGGAGGGATAACTGGGTCTAATGGGACCCTAATCCTAGTTCTTTGAGGTATCTATCTCCATACTGATTTCTACAGTGGTTGCACTAGTTTACACTCCCACCAGCAGTGGAGCAGTGGAGCAGGGTTTCTCTTTCCCCACAGCCCTGCCAGCATTTGTTATTGGTTGATTTCATGATAGTAGCCATTCTTTCTGGGGTGAGGTAGAATCTCAGCATTGTTTTCATTTGTATCTCTTCAATAACCAGTGATGTTGAACATTTTTCATGTTTATTTGTTATTTCTACTTCTTTGAGAAGTGTCTGTTCATTTCAAATGCCCATTTTTGGATTGGGATTTAAATTTGTGGGGGGGCTCTGGTTTTTTTTAAGTTCTTCGTATAATCTGCATAATAGACCTTTGTCTGAGGAAGAGCTGGTGAAAATTCTTTTCCCACACTGTGGGTTGTCTCTTCACACTGTTGATCATTTCTCTTGCTGTGCAGAAGCTTTTTAATAAGAAGACATCCCACTTGTTGATTGTTTGTGCTAGCTCACAGGCAACTGAGGTTTTGTTCATAAAATTTTTCCTACACCAATGTCTTCAAGAGTTCTAACTAATAAGCTCTTTTCCAGCTGGTTTAGTATTTCTGTTTTAATATTTAGATCTTTAATCCACTTTGATTTTAGTTTAGTGCATGGTGAGAGATATAGGTCTTGTTTTGATCTTTGGCAAGTTTTTCCAACACCATTTATTAAACAGGCTATCTTTTCTCCACTGAGGTTGTTTGGCTCTTTGTCAAAGATGAGGTGGCTGAATGTGTCTGGATTTACTGTTTTAATATTTGGATCTTTAATCCATTTTGGTTTTAGTTTAGTGCATGGTGATTGATATAGGTCTAGTTTTAATCTTTGCAAGGTGAAACCCAGTTTTTCCAGCACCATTTATTAAAGAGGCTCTCTTTCCTCCAGTGAGGGTGTTTGGCTCCTTTGTGGAACATGAGGTAGCTAAGTGTGTCTGGATTTGTTTCTGCATCTTCTAATTGGTTCCACTGGCCCTCAGGTCTGTTTCTTTGCCAGTACCATGTTATTTTTATCACATCAGCTTTGTAGTATAGTTTCAAGTTGAGGATTGTGATACCCCTAACTTCTCTTTCTCTCAGTTTTTTTTTTTTTTTTTTTTTTTTTTTTTTTTGGTACTTGGGATTGAACTTGGACCCTTGTGCTTGCAAGGCAGGTGCTGGAATCACTAAGCTAAATCCCCAGCCCCCTAACTTCTCTTTATTGCCTAGAATTGCTTTTGCTATTCTAGGTCTCTTCTTGTTCCAAATGAATTTTTGTATTGTATTTTTCAAGGTCTGTGAAGTATGCTTCTGAGATTTTTTGTTTCTGTTTTTTTCGTTTTTTGAGACAGGGTCTCACTATGTAGTTGAGACTGACCTGGAACTCACTATGTAGCCTAGGCTGGTCTCACAACAATCCTCCTGCCTCAGCCTCCTGAGTGCTGGAATTATAGGTGTGAGCCACCACGCCTGGCTATGCTGAGATTTTAATTGGGATTTCATTGACTCTATATAGCAATTTTGGAAGTATGGTCATTGTCACTATGTTAATTCTGCTTGCCCAGGAACAAGGGATGTCTTTCCATTTTCTGATATCCTCTTTAATCTCTTTTTTCAGAGTGCTGTAGTTTTCAGAGTAGAGGTCTTTGGTTTCTTTTGTTAGGCTGATTCCTAGGTATTTCAATTTTTTGGATGCTATCGTAAAAGGAATTGTTCACCCCATTTTTCTCTCAGTGAATCTGTTTTTCATGCACAGAAAAGCTATTGATTTTTGTGTGTTAACCTTGTATCCAGCTACTTTACTGAATTTGGCTATTAAGTCTAGAATACGCTTGGTGGAGTTCTTGGGGTCTTCTAAATAGAATATTAGGTCATCTGCAAATAATGACAATTTGACTCCTTCCTTGTATTGCTTTCTCTTTGCTAATGTCTATGGCCTATATTTCCAAAACTATATTGAACAGGAGTGGTGAGAGTGGACATCATTGTCTTGTTCCTAATTTTAGTATGAAGGATTTCACTTTTTGACCATTTAGTATGATGTTGGCTGTTGGTTTTTCATAGATGGCTTTTATCAGATTGAGGTAGAGACCACCTATTCCAGTTTTCTGTAGGGTTTTTATCATGAATGACTGTTGGATTTTGTTGAATGCTTTTTCTGCATCTATTGAGATGATCATATAGTTTTACCCTTAGCTCTATTAATATAGTGTATTATATTTATTGACTTACGTATGTTGAACTATCCCTACATCCCTGGGATGAATCCCACTTGGTCAGGTTGTATGTTCTTCTTTTTTTTTGAGACAGGCTCTCACTATGTAGTTGAGACTGACCTGGAACTCACTATGTAGCCCAGGCTGGTCTCGAACTCACAGCGATTCTCCTGCCTCAGCCTCCAGGGTGCTGGGATTACAGGCGTGCGCCACCACCCCCGGCTGTATGATCTTCTTGATGATCTTTTGCATTCTATTTTCTAATATCTCATTAAGGATTTTTGTATCAATGTTCATTCTCTTTTTTGGTTGGTTCATTCTCTCCTTTTGTGATCGAGGTGATGCTTGCTTGTAGGAATGAATTTGGGAGTATTACTTCCCTTTCAATTTCATTGAAGACTTTAAACAGTAGTGGCAGTAGTTCCTCTCTAAATGTCTTTTAGAATTCAGCAATGAAGCCATCACGGCCCAGGCTTATTTTATTTGGTAAGTTTTTAATTACATTTTTAATTTCTCTCTCTCTGTTTTTTTTTTTTTTTGAGACAGGGTCTCACTATGTAGTTCAGACTGCTCTGGAACTCACTGTGTAGCCCAGGCTGGTCTCAAACTCTCAGTGATCCTCCTGTCTCAGCCTCTGGAGTGCTGGAATTACAGG